AGAACGCGTGTTATTTATCGAGTAATAATCCCATTTAAATGTCTTCAAAGCAAGCTGTATAGTGATAACATTTCTGCTATTATCATAGTAACAAATTTTTTTCTCGATACTCTGACAACTACTAGCTTTTCTCTATTTTATGACTTGAAGACAGTTATATAACAGTTTGAGGGGTAAAAACAAAGGTATCTTTCGAAATATGCAGTCTTATAACGTGTAATGTTTCAAACACAATCACAGTAAAGTTTTGGTTCAACAGTCAAACTCGCGCTATTAAACTTTTTTCTGAGACAAATTTTGAACACATACTTACTTTTTTATGTCTCCTAAAGAATGGAGCTTTCGCGGTTCTATCAATACCGCCATAATAAAAAAAAACTTTACTTTTGTCCCCAGAAACGAGTCGTATACAAGATGCTACGAGGACCGCCAAATAATACCGATGGCCAAAAATTATTCACGATCATTCTTTATTCGTTGTAAAGCAGTATGAGATTCTGCCAAGTTGCATCTTCAACGACTCGAAAGCTTCGCACGGCGATTCTCTAATATTCCGCGTAAACGCCGTGATTCCAGTAGTCATCTATGGCTCTCCCAACTACGAAGCGTTGTTTCTCTAATATTCCGTGTGGATGTTGTGATCTGCGCGAAAAATATTTTATGTGTTAAGGAAATTCGTCTCTTTTGGTAGACTCATCGAAAGTGAAATGAAAAAGTCAACGCTTTCTAGGACAAGTATCTAGAAGAATAAAAAGCTTTGCAGACGGTTTCTATAAGATTTTACTAAACGGTATACTTGCGCAGAAATGATGCCATGTCAATATAAGCAGTAAAACGCGACATGATTATGATCGGAAATCTATAGTTTGGGAAGGAATTATGACTAGGCGTTTGGAGAGACAATTAAATAGAAATCCTGCACCGACGACTTAGTGGCAAGCTTAAGTCCGTAAACTAAGAGTCCAGAAAGCGGTTTAATGCTCAATTCTTAATCGGATGTATACCACAGGAACAAACGACAACGTATGATTTAATATCACCAATCGTTTTATTAGAATATAAAGAACTATTCTAAGGACAGATAATCGTATTATAAGGAATATCTGAATGATTGTCAGATGCTGAACGATGAGAAATTTTGCGTTTAACTAAGAATGCAAATCCATTGACTATGTTGGGGAATTGCAAACCGAACAACTGTTTATAATATGCGAAAAATTATATTTATAACCATATCGAAGCTATTTTATAAAAGAGACTAGAAGATCTCGAAGTTCAGCAATTTCTGATCTTAATTGCTGAACTTCTAAACGAGTTTCTTTTCAATATTTTGTTAGAGCTATCAAGTCCATTTGACTCGATGTATTCAATCAAATCCGAATATAAGTCATTCTCATCTGTTAAGATGTTATATCCGGCTGACTCTTTGACTCTTATTGCGTATAATACAATAATATTAAAAGTTTGTTATCCCAACATGGTCCGTAGATTTGTCCCGTAGTTTGACTCTTCTGCACCTTGCGTTACGTTGTATATTTCTGTGCCGCAGGACTATACTAGCTGATATCGGACACCTTGTATCGCTGTCACATGACCTAGTTGGGCAGCTCTAGTTCGGGCTCTTTTTTTTGGCAGAGTAGAATACATAATAATAACGTGATGTGTCATGTTTGTACATATCACATACATTACAGTTTACGTGTAGACGTCGTGTAGACTACCGCTCATGTTGTTGTTGTAGTACTGGACCTCGTTACAATATGAAAGTCCTAACTTGACTCAAATTCGAGCCCTTGTTCGAATGTAGAAGTTTATCCGTCTCGTGGGATAAAACTTCAATGTATGATTAAGAACTATTTTTAATACTAAAAGTCCGTAAATTTGTTTTGACTCTTCTGCGCCTTGTGTATATTTCTGTGCCGCAGGACTGCCAGAAATTAACTGTACCATCGCTGCCGGCACTGGCTGATATCGGACACCCCTTGTGTATATTTCTGTGCCGCAGGACTGCCAGAAATTAACTGTACCATCGCTGCCGGCACTGGCTGATATCGGAC